TTAGAAGTGACTTGTTTCGTAGGCCATTGGATAAGGTTATTAATCAATATATTGTGTGTATAATATGTTCATATGTATTAATTTAATTGTTTATTTAGGTTCTTGTCACTGATTTTTTTGGAAGTGTACAAAATGTGGAATTGACAGGACAAAAATATAATTTATCAAATACTGATGATATAATAGTCGCCAATAATAATATTGATTCTTCTTCATCAATAATGAATAATACTTCTTCAACTGCATCATCGACATCATATAAATTAAAGGATTCAAATAATTTTCATCTTTTCAATGTTGTCAATTCCGATCAATCATCATCGCCATCATCATCTACTTTACCACAGTTTTTAATAGCAAGTTTTTTGTTTTGGATATTGGTTAAATGGACTTCTATGAAGTTATAAACTTGTAAGATTTTGTGAGAATATAATATATACATACTATGTTGATATTAATAACAATTTACAATACTAATAATAAATAATTGATATTATTATAAAGGATTTATCTTTTTTTAAAAAAAAAAACCTCCCAATTTATCACTAAAAAATATTTTATTATCTTGACAATAAATAAGATGAATTTTGAAAATTAAGAATCTTCTAATTCTTCTTGTTCGGATGGTAAAGTTACTAGTGAAGTTACTGGTGGTCCAAGTCCAAGAAATTCCCTAGCCTACAGAATCATGCGCATACAATCATAAACATGAACATAAACGTAAAATAATAATAATAATAATAATAATAAATCTTACTTTTTCATGATTCTCTAAAACTCCTAAATCTTTTTCACCATTTTTTACTTGTTCAGCCAATTCAGGTTCCTTTTCAATAATTTCTTTTAAAACATTTTGAAATTTTAAATACAGTGAATCTGGTTTGGTAATATCATCTGGTGCTTGAAAGTAAACACCTTCTTCCAATTTTACTGAATTAAACCCTGAAAATTTTTAATTAATTCATTAGTAGCCATCATTATTGTTGTAGTTATTATGGAATGAAGAAGAGAACATACATCCAAGTGGTTTTTCAAATGTTTCACGAAATTTTGCACGAGTTTCCATAAGCTCTGCTGTTTTTGTAGCTGAAGGTGATAAAGCGGTTGGACGATGCGTGTGACCCATGATTATTATTATTATTTATTATTATTACTAATATTGCAATATTATTATTAATCAGAATCAAATTTTAAAAAAACCAATTGACAAAAAAATAAAAAAATAAATTAAATTTAGTATTATATCCAAATCGGTACAGTTAGTTACACATGTCAAGAATTCATTTTGCGGATGCAGTTTGGCGTAATTCCAATCAAGTCACTTTAGTATTAGATATATACACTGGTAAAATGTTTACGATATCTGTGAACATTGATAATAAACAGTTTAAAATATGAATGAACATATCCGCGATCTGATTTGATTCTCTTCATGAAAGGTATTCATTATCTTTACTTTCAGAGTGGGTATTGACGAATCAGTTTCAGGCTTATATACCTTTTTAACCTGACAGAGTTGAGAATCCTCCTTAGCCACTGTTATTTATACACATAAAAACCATTTATAGGAGAGTTGGGCACCGAATTTTTCAGTGATATTTGAGGATTTCTCTCAGTGTTAGCTTACTCAAAATTAGTGATAACTTGTTCGTTTTTGAAATTATGCAACAAAGCCAAAGTGAACATTTGTATTACCAAGGATTTCAGGGTTAAAAATTTAGGGGATGCTAGAAAAGCACAGGGGACAGGAATCTGTAACATTCGCTTTTCATTGGGCCCAAAATTTAGTTACCATCACAAAGAAAAATAATAAACATTAAGAAAGAAAGCAGAAATCCTTAAAATGCAATGAATCACATTATTACATGCTGGTCTATTTTTTTTTTTTATATAGTCCTTTTGACAACATAAACCATAGCAATTATAAAACCTAAAATTAAAGTTGTACTTGCTATTCACAATCAAATGAATTTACCATCAAACTTTTTTCATTCTTTAAAATTTTATTTTTATATTCCTCTGCAGCTTTGGCAAAATATTCATATTTTAAGTCTGAGACAGTAGTTTTGAGGTGGTAGATGTTATCTCCTGTGGTATTTTTGTTACATTCATAATTTTACTCAATCTTCTTCTTCATCTACAAGATATCAAAATCAGGTGCATTTTCTTTAATAATGAGGTTTACATTGACCATTGATTTTTCAACCATCATTACTCCTAATTTAGATTGAGGAAATTTGCCAAAGTTTTTGGAAAATCTTTTCTCTTTTTCCACCACTACCATAGATTTTTTGCCCTTATCACTGTTTTTAGTAGTAGTAATAACTATTAAATCACTGATCAAATCTTCTTTTAAACATCTTTTACATCCTCAGCAGTTGATAAAAAGGGGAATGAGATTTCACATTAACTATTTCATATCTAGAACTGTTTTTGTCAGTATCTTCTCTTCTTTTAGTAACTTTTTAAACTTTTCATAAGTAAAGCTCCGAACGGTTCGGTTTACAATCCGAATTTTTAAAGCCAAACCGAAACCAAACCTCTCGGCTCGGTTCGGTTTTTCGGTTTACATTTGACCCAAAAATTCAGACATTCTAAATTCGTTAACTACGCAAAAATATACATAATAACTTCAAAAAATTATAATAACTTGTAGCTTAGTTTAGCGGATGTGTTACGAAGTAGAGATGCTGGAAGGATCCTGTTTCTAAATACATACATAATCTATAATTTATACCATGATTTAATATTTTATCTGATTGATGGATCCATTCATGCAAGATATTATATGCAAGTTACTAAAAAAGTGTAAATTAGACATTGGCATAGCTAATCACATGATTGTATATATTTAGATGTTACCCAGGGCCACGCAAAATAGGTTGTGTCACCTCGGATTAATCCATTGTTTCTGAGTGACGACATATTTGTTAGATGATAGAATTTTTTTATTAGGTTTTAGCAAGCTCACACTCGTTCGAAAAAATAAATGTTAATATTAATCATAATAATCATAATAATCACATAATAATTTTGCTCTTTGATAACTTTTATAATGGAATAATTCGTGGCGGTAGTTAACGAGCAATTATTATCATGTCCATTATGTAAGCAGGTGGTACACAAAATTTTATTAAATGTAAGATGTAATATTTATCGTAAATCTTTTTATGGAAATGAACGAAACCAAAAATAAAAGCTCTCATTGTTCTCAGAAGGATTTTAATTTAATAATCATTATAATAATAATAATTCTTGTTTTTCAAAAAAAAAACCATCAATTAATTAATAATTCAATTACATGTAATCTGCCGCTTAATGTCATTCGATTAACCAACGCTTAATCAACCCAAATTTATCCTTGTTTATATATAAATAATCAAAAATAACTAGGAAGTTTTTGATTTTATAATAACAATAATGATAAATCAGGTTTGGCGTTTTGATATTTTTTTTCCTCATACATCTAATGAAAATAATAATAAATATCTAATTATAATACGCAGTAATAATAAATACACATGCAATAATTCCACTATAGAAATAGTTTTAATTGTGTGCGTGTGTATTTGGAGTAGTAAATGAAATGAGTTAGTAGATGGAAAATAATAATAATGGCAAAATTCAAACAACGAAATATTAAATGGTGTAACTAGTTGGTTATGTTATTATTTAGATTTACATAAGAGATAATGCACATATTATTTATATGAAATAATTCACACAATTAGCAATTGAAAACAATGACAATAAAAAAAATTAAAAATTGGCGAGAATATACATTTAATATCACATGTGATAAAATTAAATTTATCACTTTTTCGTAATATCGCGACAAAATTTTTTTTGTAAAAAGATTTCATCACTAGACATTACGTTAAGTTAATAAACAAAAAAAAAAACCACGAATAATTAAGACGCGTCAATTATATATTTTAAAAGAAAAAAATTTCATTATAAGTCACATCATATAAATAGAAATATTAAATCTTTATTTGGCAAGAAACAATAAAAATATAGAAATTGACCGAAAAGGTCACGCGCTTCCCTCGTGTACACATACACACATATAAAAGTAGTCCTTATAGTTGTAATTGTTACTTACGCTTTGATTTCTTTCTGTTTGTTTTACTTTTTTGTTTAAATTTTTTTTTTTTAGTATAAAAAAAATCAATAAGATTTAAAAAAATCTCGATTAAAACAATTTGACAGATACTCTGCTACCACTTTTGATAACAATTAATCTTCAATTCCTTTTTCACACTTATTATTACTATAATAACAATATAACTTTATCCTTTACTACATGGATCATCATCATTATCATCATCATATTCCTTTTAAAGAAACAAAGAACAAAAATTAAATCTTCTCCTAAGCTTTATGAAACGTGAGAGCACACGCTATTATTACGCACGAATATAAAAATCAACTTATTAAATCTTGAAGAAAATATTTCCTTTCATTAATACATATATATAATAACCAAAGTATTTAAACAATGACATTTCTCCATTTTTATGTACATCGCACATCATCTTACATATAATAAATTAAGTTGATTCTTTATTTGATCTATCTATTGATTTGAGATCGAGATAATCGAAAAAAAATGTGAGTTATGTATGATGATATTCTCGATTATATTCCAGTGATAAAATTATTTCTTAATCACCTCAAAATTACTGCGTAAAAATTTATCACCAAAATTCAATATTATCCCGTGACATGAAGGAATATCGAATTCCTTCTGTTAGTTCGTGTAATCTGGGCGCATATTCACAAGATTAACTCAGAGAATTATAACAAATAAATCACTTGAAAAAAGCAAATAATTTACTGCGGATAACTTATCAAAAAGAAATTAGATTCTCGTGTTTTTTATTTTTTTGTAAGTTAATTAAAAAAAAAATATATATATTAAATAATGTAAAGTAAATAATGGTTAAATTAAAAATAATTAAATAAATAAATTATTATATGACATCTATTAATTATAATTATTTTTTATTTTCAAAAATTGCTAATAAACTTTGCCAAACTACATTAGGACTCTGAGAGGCATCAACTGCTGACCAAATACCCTTTGCTTTATAATAATTAACCACTGGAGTAGTCTGTTGGTGATATGTTGCTAATCTTTTCTTTAAAGTTGCTTCATTATCATCACTACGTTGAATTAACGGTTCACCTGTAACATCATCTCTACCTGGCACTTTGGGTGGACTATTATATTATTATTGTTATTTGTCAAATAATTATAGTTATTATTTATATTATATTATATTATATTATATATATTATATATAATCATCTCAATCACTTACTTGAAAATTCTGTGATAAGTTCTACCACTAGCAGTATGGATCAATCTACCAACGATTCTTGACACTAACAAATTATCATCAATGACCAATTCAACTGCATTATCTAATTTTTTATTATCTTTCTTAAGCATTTCATCAAGTTTTGTAGCTTGTGGCACAGTTCTAGGAAATCCGTCTAAAATAAATCTATTCATATATATAAAATAATTGTTATTGTTATAAAAAAATCACTTTTCCTCTCACATCCCAATTAACAATAGTAGTAACAATAAATATACCGACCCATTTTTACATTCAGGGTTTTTTTTTAATTCATCTTCAATCATTCCAACCATAATTTCATCTGAAACTAAACCCCCGGAATCCATAATTTTCTTAGCTTCTACTCCAAGTTTAGTTTTTGCTGCTACTTGTGAACGTAACATATCACCTGTTGCTAAATGACAAATACAATATCTTTCTTTGATCTTTGGTGCTTGGGTTCCTTTACCTTTATAATTATTATCAATCAAATCGATCGATCGATTATTTTATGAGCGCAATATAGCCAAATTTAAACGAATAATAAATAAATTTACCTGCTCCTGGAGGTCCTATAAGTATCATTCTTAATGACTCATTTCGTTTAGAATTATCTTTTGACTCGTTATTATTATTAGGTATGCACTTCACGTTTTTGGTTTAATTATCGACATATAGCCAATACTTTATCGATGTATA